AGGGATAAGTTTAATTGTTCCTACACTAATGTAAAAGATTTGTTGCAAACAGAAATAAAATATTATCCAAATTAATTAAAATGTAAAACAAAGTTATATAGGATCTAAAGAAGATAAGTTCTTCAAAGCCTCCACTAACTTCAAATTCTTAAGTTTCTCCTGCAGAAGTCAGTGGGAATTAAAATTATTGTTTAACCAGACTATGCACTGGATAGAATATTTATCTACAAATAAAATAAGCCAAAATGTGGGTTACCAGAAATCAAGAATTATAATGTCGCAGTATAAAACTGGTCAGCAGAGCTGAACTAAGGCCTAGTCTAAAGCAACCAGCTGCTAGTGCTATTTTAAGATGAGGGAGACCAAGTATAGCAGATAACAAGATATTAATTTATGATAGAGGCTTCCCCCCCTTACAATTTTCCTTCCTCTTGTCAAAGCTCTAGGATTCAACTCTTGGGGTTCAAATCTGAAAGTGGTTAGATATCTCAGCAATTGTATGGTCACCTGTGAAGGATTTTGGTGAAAGGATGCTTGGCTTCATGGGCCCTGGCGGATCTCCTCCAATATTCTAAATGAAAGGAAATTCTTCTTCTTTCTATCAATGTACATTAAATCAGGCCCTATTCTTGAGCTTTTAATATCTTCTTTTTGTCATGTCTTGTGAGCAAACAACTAGCTAGCATTGCAAATGTTTTCAAAGCAAGGTTAACATGTCCAGCAATAATGCTATATGTAATATAGGAGAGTGCAGTGTGCTGGCTAGAAAACTGAGCTAGGATAAAGCAGGGAAGTCCTGCATTCAGATCTGGCCTCTTCCACATACTCATTCTTACAGAGAAGTTAATCCCAGTTACTTAAGATTTCCTCCTCGCCCTCACAATACACACTGTTATCTGCAGTATAGGGGATAAGATTACTGACCTTACCTTATAATTTCCCCTCCTGTTTGGTGCTTACCAAGGGTGCTGGAATGCCACTCCCATCATGTTCCATTCAAACTGGGAATGGCTGCAGTTGCAGATTGGCATATTGGGGCACAAGGGGGGGGGGGACTCAAATTGGGAAACACTGCCGTACAGAGTTACTACAGTGGACCCTCGACTTACAGACGGCTTGACTTGCAGACTTTTTGAGTTACAGACTTCTCTGGCCGCAAAATTTAGGTTTGACTTGCAGACTGAGATTTGACTTACAGACCAGAAAAAACCCAAAATGGAACAAAAACGGCTTGTTACGGGATTAATCGGTTTTTAATGCACTGTAGGTCAATGGAGATTTGACCTACAGACTTTTTGACTTGAGAACCGCCTTCCAATACGGATTAAGTTCTCAAGTCAAGACCCCACTGTATAAGGATAACTACATAATGCACACGAACAGCTGAAAAGTGGTGTACACATGTAATGTTTTATCACTCTAAATCATCACTAGGTCTTCCTCCAACGATCAGAGGTGGGAAACCTGCGGCACTCCTGATGCTACTGAACTCCAATTCCCATTCGTCCTTGTCAGCATAGCCAATGGACGAGATTTATGGAGTTGAGCCCTAACATTCTCAGTCCAGCCATAAGCACTCTTCTCTGATACAGGGCATTTAAATAATAAAGAAAATACTGATATTCATCATTGACCATCGATTTTAAAGAAATCTGATGGTGAAAACTGGGGAGCAGGGAATAAAGAATAAAATTGTGCACTTCCCCTTCTCTCCTTCTCATTCTGCATGTGAGGAGGAGGAATTTTAAAGCTTTCAACTGTAATTTGAAATCAACCACAGTTTCACATTGCATCTGAATATAGGAAAGTGTGGGATGCTCTAACCACTGTTTGTTAACAAAGGAGATCTGACATCTCAATTGAATGAATCAATTTATTTTGGTATAAAACCATAGGAATACAACTAGCACGGTTACAAGATAATACCCTATCTACAGAGAGTTCAAAATTCAAAGTTTAAAATTTAATTTAAAATTTGAACCTTTTAATTAACCCATCTTCTTAGTATGAAATTTAATGAAGTATAAGCAAAATCTAGCTATTTGTTTAGTTATAAAAGAGTTTTCATCATTTAAAAGTCTTTCCAAACCCTCCTCATTTGCATCTATCTAAACATGGCAGGATAAATCTCTCCCTATGTGGGTGATGAAAGGGGCAATGGAAAAACAGATGTACCATCGATTCCACCTCCCCTTGGGGGCATACACAGCATCTTCTTATATCTCCCTTCGAGAACCTTTGGTGGGATAGTTGAGCAGTGAGCCAAAGTGAAAGCTCTCCTATAGACAGGATCTTCCAGCTCTGAAATACACCTAGCCATTCTCATGACATATCTGGCCTCCGTAAAAGCTCTAAAAAGAGATCATGTTCTATCGCGTTGACGCTCTATATCTTGAACCCTTTGTTTGACATGAGATTCCACCTGTGTAATACTCTGAACCAGTAGATCATCTGGTGAGAGACCCAAACTTCCTAGATTGCTTTTAAGAGATCATATCCTAGGTTGAAAAGAGTTTTGAATTATCAAAGGGAGAAGGCCATTTTGGTTTGAGATGCTCTTAAGCCACTGACAAACAGACGTTATTAGTATTCTAGCTTCTATTTTCATTTGACCCAGTTCTAATTGTATAAGAGCATCAAGGACACCAGGGAGCACTTGTAGGATGGACCGAAAGAAATTAGATTGGATCTTCTCTAGCACACTCAGATCAGTCAAGGAGATTCCCGTTATGTATACCATATAAGAGTTGAGCTAAGATTTTATACTGATACAGCTTCAGTGCTGCCAGGATGAAAAGACCTCCCCTAGTTCGGAAAAACCTTACAATAGTATTAACAGCATGCTCAGCTTTCTCCTCCATCCGAACATAGGGAGCACTATTTGCCCCTGACTCTTGCAAGGTCACCCCAAGTAGATAAATTTGCTCACTTATTCAACTTCCTTCCCTTTTATTAACCAGGATCTCTTTTTAGGGTGTTTGCCAAAGGCCATCACAATTAATTATCCTTTATCGACATCTCAATTTGATTGCTATTATTTGTACCAGCTGTGGTTACAACACAACATAATTTCCTGTATGCAACAGTTTCAGGAAATGATTGTCTGCTTAAAACCACTTTAGGGACCTTGAAACTTCCTGCTCTAGCTCTCATAGGAAGGGGGCAGGGGTTAGAAGGGTTAGAAAGGCTAGGCTCAGTGGTTTAAGTATGAGAGTTTGAATTCCCACTGTGTCTTCTTAGCAGGGGCTGTTCTTGATGATCCATAGGGTCCCTTCAAGCTCTGCTGTGCTAAGATTATTATAATGTATATTATATATGATTTAGCATTCAGTTTGAAACAAGGCAGATTTTATTTAAATCAAACTGATTCCTACAAAAGAGTGGCATTTGTTAATTCTTTGACTTTTTAAATAGATCTAAATCATTACTCAGAAAGTCCTAATTTAATTATGTGATTTCTGCCCCCCAAATGCACTCATGCTATAACCCTAATGCATATTTTTCAGAAATCTCCTTCTTTACGTATCATCCACCTCAAATAATCCACTTTCAATGTTGCAAAGTGCATACCAGAAATGTTGATGAATTGAAAGTTACTGGATGCGGAATGAAGAAGATTGTGAAGGTAAAAGTTCCCCTTGACATTTAGACTAGTCGTGTCTGACTCTAGGGGGCGATGCTCCCCCCGTTTCCAAGCCATAGAGCCAGCATTTGTCCGAAGATAGTTTCCGTGGTCACGTGGCCAGCGCGACTAGACACGGAACATCATTACCTTCCCACCGAGGTGGTACCTATTTATCTGCTCGCATTTACTTGCTTTCGAACTGCTAGGCTGGCAGATTGTGAAAGATACCTATTAACTTTTCAGCAAACAAGTCTGCTGCTTTTGGGGTCATTTGTCATTTTAATCATTTAATCAAATGATTAAATTCAAATCTACTCTGATCATTTCCAAAGTATGCAACTTCAAAAAGAGAAGGAAAGACTTGACTTCATTTGCATAAGGTTCCAAAGGGATAATAGGCAGAGTTGCTTCTCTGAAGGAATCAGTATCACTTAAGAAAAGTACTGAAAAGAATCCTTGGAGATTTCCAAAGGGCTTCCAAGAATTTCCAACATTATACCATGTTTGTTTGTGGGGAGGGAATCTCCAGAATTGCTTTCAGTCACAGTTGAAAAACAAGGATCTGGTCTATTATTTCTCATTTCCATGCATTTCTGCTAACAAGTACGTAGTTTTGGTGACACAAACCCAGTTTGAGAATTATAAATTTTTTGGTATCTCCTCAATTGAGTATTAGGGGAGATAGAAAGATGACTTATCTACAGAGAACTCTTGTGGAATCCAAGAAATAGAAACCCTAATCTAAGAATGCATTCTGCAAAACTTCTTTTAAAAACGAAAATACATGTTCTCATAGTAGAGAACTAAAATTTATAATCCTTATTCCATGAGATCTTTGTAATAGAACACCTTTTAATTTAAAGCTATCATTACATTTTTAAAAAGGGAGAGCATTTTAAGAATACAATTAAGCATCTGATTTAAAATTTAAAAATCCATATAATATTTTATTTTATCACTAATTTTTATCATCAATTTCTACCCACTCTGGTCTGAATTGGGTACTGTTTCTAAGCGTATGGAAATCAACTGCTTAACTCAGCTCTAAGTATTTAGTCATGCTTCATTCATGACATCATCCCATTAATACAGGACAAGTGTAATATATGCAAAGCAGTGTTCACCAAGTATGAGCATATTATAGTATTCAAAGCCATTCACAAATTCATGAGTTTATGGCTGAAAGGACAGAGAGTTGGCAGCTCATTCTTAACAGTCTCACTATTCCAGCTCTAGATGATGTGGCATATTTGGAACAGACTGAAAAATGTTTTCTGTTCAGAAGTATTTAGTCTGATAACACAGTTTACTCCTGAGCACATTTCAGATATCAGGTACCTCATTATTAAATATATATATAACTATATATACTAACTTTCCAATATTTTCAGGTAATGCTTGCAAGGAGATATCATTTACAGAGAGACATGTTAGACTCTGCAGTTCAGGAAAGCTTTCAGGCAACCTGCAGAAAGAAAGTTTGAATCAGTCAGAGACAATACAAAAAAAGATTTATTCTGTCCTCCTCAACATCTGACTACAGAGAAGCCACACCTAATGGCTGAATTCAGCAGTGATCGTATTTAATTACTATTTATTTAGTATACTAATCAGTAGAAATCTTGTAAGAACAGAAATATAAATACTGGCATAAGAGCACAAACATTTCTTTTTAGTGCAAACAATAAATACATTTATTCTTCAAAATGCAGTCCTTAATACCAAGATACCAATTAATATTAGCCCATCATACAAGGGAAGGAAAAAGGTAAATACTATACATAAATAAGCACAAGAGGTTGTGGGTGGGTGGTTCGGTAAAGTCACCATCATGATTTAAAAGCAGGGATAGGTGACTTTATGATATGCCAGGTGTGGACTGGAACTTCCCCATCCCTCAGCCTCACCGTCACATCGGGCTGATATATGTTGTTGAAAGGCATATTGTGGTCCTTGAACAACACACTGAAGGCCACAACATGCAGTTAACAATAGATGTCCCTCTTGAATTGCATGGGTCTGAGCAGCACAGTTTTCGTTACACATGGATTTTTTTTCCAGTCAATCAATCAGTCAGTCAGTCTTTGCCTCTGGCCATCCAGAACCAGGGGCATGAAAGAGTTTCACACTGAAGGTGTCAAAGTGATCTACTTGCCCCCAAACACAACATATCTAATTCAGCCTCTAGATCAGGGGGTCAATAAGGCCCTTTGAGGTTCATGACACACTGTACTGTACAGAAAAGACTATCACCTCAGGAGAGAGAACTGTTCTCTTTTATGTGTGTGAATTAGCTGTATATGCTTCACAGCTATGTTTTGTGGGTCATAACAGTTATACATGGATTTGAACTACACTGGGGTGGGGGAGTCTTGCACCCCAGCGTAGCTGATGGGAGAAGTGTACTTCTCAAATACGTCACTTCTTTTTGGATGGCTTTTCTCCTCAGCTACTCCTTCCCTTCAATTGCTTTCTCCATCCAACTGTTCTCCCAAGGACAAACTAAAAAAAGATCTCCTCTGTCTTACAACTCAGGCAGCATGGCCTTTAATGTTCACTGTTTAGAAAAAAAGCCAATCGATAGTTCATTAAAGTGGAGCAGAGCTATGATACTGAATCTATCCTCCCTGACAAAAGCTAACCATCATCAATCAGCTGCAGGCAACTTTTTCCTTGGCCCTACATGTGAGGAAAATGGATATCACAACCCACGTCAAGTGAAGAAACTGCCACATATTCAGTATCATCTTTTCGGATCTATAAAACTACCCAAGGCTTGACTGAAGAGAGAGCAAAAGATTAACAGCTCATTTTCGGCAGGTGAACACTGCCTCTAAGGAGCTAATTAAACAGTTTCTGTCCTCATCTAAATGTATGTTGTGGGCTAAACAGGAAGCCACTGTTGATATACTGAATAGGAAATACTACAACATGCTAAACATATATGATTCATCCACATCACAGGAGTATACTTAACTCCTACAAAGGCAACAAAGCAGTATACTATATGACCCGAGGCACAATATCATCTTTCTGCCACCGCTCACTTGAGAGTTGGCACTCCAGGATAAATAGCTGATGTTCATCCCTCATATCCATTCTTGGCAGTCCTTACATATTTAAATTGCCATTTTTCTTGGTAAGAACACTTGGCAGTTACAAACGCGTCAACATCCCCTTGCAGACTTCCGTATCTTCGGCTGAGGAAAATGGCTTCCATGTGCCATTTACAACTGTCACATGGTGTGTGAATATTGTACTCCAGTACCCTGATTATCTACCCTGTCAAGCACTAAAACCAGCTCAGAGACTTTTGAAAAAAATACAACATTTTTCCTTCAGCATTTTTGGACTACCCAATCAGTTTTGGATCACACCTTAATCCTCAAGTTTCAGATAACTGCTGCAGACTTAAAAAAAATTAATGTCTTCTGCTTAGGAACAGTATCTGTGCACATGTCACAAATCATTAATACCCCCTGAACTACTTCCTCATCTAACACTCATCATTCTCTCTTTCCCTCTCCTTCTCTGTACAAGCAGATTTTGTGTCCTACAATATGACAGGAATGCAAGTCTGAAGCCAGATAAAAGAAACACATATTTCTCAGCAGAAGCATGCAGGTGGCCTGTACAATACAATCATCAAAGGTCAATTGCCACTGGAAATTATCACCATGAAGCAGTAGGGAAATGTCACATAACATTTGTCTTTGCTAACATTTTCAGTTCTGTCCTCCAGACACTGCTGGTTTTATTTTCAGTTTATTTAAAAATTAATAGATAAATAGTTCCCTCATAAGGAGTGGGTAGAGATGAACTTCACATTTCAAAATGACCAAGTACAAGGACAAAAACCACTTCACACTTATATAAGAATTTATTGTATTTTTATGAGGGTTACCTGGTGAGTGGATTTCCACTGAAGTCTGCTATCTGTAGTGATTTGCAAAAGGAGATGCTTTCAGGAATCTCAGGAATATCTGTAGAAGGAAAAAAATGACACAGTTAAAAATAGCAACTGAGAACCAACCTTGCAACCTTAATAATAAAATACAACACTTTTTAAAGATGCTCCCAAAACAAGCATCTTTTGTAACACTGTCTAGCAAATATTTTTCTACAGCCAATGTTCAATGTCAGTTTGCATTTATGTCACCAAGGCCCACCACTAAGGGATTTCTGTGGAAATCAAATCAAAACAAATGAAAATCAAAGAATCATAGAAAAATTGAATCAGAAAGGGCTTATAAGGCCATCCCCGTACTCAATGCTGGAATTCAAATCAAGGCAAATCTGACAGGCGGTTGTCCAATTTTCTCTCGAATGCCTCCGATGTTGGAACACTAACCAACTCCCAAAGTAATTGATTCCGTTGTCATACTGCTCCATCAGTTAAGTAGTTTTTCCAAATCATATGAATTTGATCAAATGAAAACTTTAGAATACAGTAGTTCGAAATATCTCCCTGTTATCTTCAGCCCCTCTCCCCTCAAGGAGCCCTTTTTATCATTAAACTATTAGCTGAGGTAACATACCATTCCTACTCTCTTCTCTTTCTCGAAAGTCAGAAAAGTTATTCTCTAATAGCTGTGGAAGAGGAATGCAATATATCAACAGAAAATAGCAAATCAGTTTCTGGAACAGACTGCAGAAAGCAAAGTCAATGTACAAAGTATGGTGGAAGAAGTGAAAATGAAATCAGGGGAAGTTGATTTACAATTAAATAAACAAAAACCACAAAAACAAAAGTAATGTCCAATCAAGAAGAAAACAGGACTGCTACAATTGATGGCTATGAAGTAGAATAGGTACAAGAATATATATATAGGGAAAGTAATAAAGTGTGGGAAATCTAATGAGAAAACAGAAGTGGAAAGAAAAATAAGACTCGCATGGTCTCCTTTTGGAAAACAATGAAATTCCTAAATCCCAAAAATACCTCTAAAATTAGGAAGATCACTCATAATTAATGTGTGTTGCCAGTACTGACTTATGCTGCCCGGGCATGGACTTTGACAAAAACTATAATAGAAAAGCTCTCAAAATCTCAATGAGTGATGGAAGACAAATGCTAAATATTAGATTGATAGATAAAGTAAGAAATTGGTTATTTGATAAAAGACAAACACCCGTACTCAATGCAGGAATTCAAATCAAGGCAAATCTGACAGTGTCCTGTCCAATTTTCTCTCGAATGCCTCCAGTGTTGGAACACTAACCAGCTCCCAAAGTAATTGATTCCGTTGTCATACTGCTCCATCAGTTAAGTAGTTTTTCCAAATCATATGAATTTAATCAAATGAAAACTTTAGAATACAGTAGTTCGAAATATCTCCCTGTTATCTTCAGCCCCTCTCCCCTCAAGGAGCCCTTTTTATCATTAAACTATTAGCTGAGGTAACATACCATTCCTACTCTCTTCTCTTTCTCGAAAGTCAGAAAAGTTATTCTCTAATAGCTGTGGAAGAGGAATGCAATATATCAACAGAAAATAGCAAATCAGTTTCTGGAACAGACTGCAGAAAGCAAAGTCAATGTACAAAGTATGGTGGAAGAAGTGAAAATGAAATCAGGGGAAGTTGATTTACAATTAAATAAACAAAAACCACAAAAACAAAAGTAATGTCCAATCAAGAAGAAAACAGGACTGCTACAATTGATGGCTATGAAGTAGAATAGGTACAAGAATATATATATAGGGAAAGTAATAAAGTGTGGGAAATCTAATGAGAAAACAGAAGTGGAAAGAAAAATAAGACTCGCATGGTCTCCTTTTGGAAAACAATGAAATTCCTAAATCCCAAAAATACCTCTAAAATTAGGAAGATCACTCATAATTAATGTGTGTTGCCAGTACTGACTTATGCTGCCCGGGCATGGACTTTGACAAAAACTATAATAGAAAAGCTCTCAAAATCTCAATGAGTGATGGAAGACAAATGCTAAATATTAGATTGATAGATAAAGTAAGAAATTGGTTATTTGATAAAAGACAAACAAATAGGTGTAAAAGAACAAATAGCATCATTAAAATGGAGATGAGTGGATGACACCATGAGACAAGTATAAGGATGATGGTATAAAGAAATAAATTGAGGGTAAACTTGCGCTGGATGGGGGAATATAGAAGTACCAAGACTAGATGAATAGATGATTTAAAAAGTCTGCAGGACCGGTATAGGTAAGAACAGTGGAGAATAGAAGCAAAAAGGTGAGGACTATATCCAACTTTGGATGTCAGTGGGCTAATAAAGAACAAGAAATAATATGTTAATGTCTTAAGAAAAAAGTCTCACAACCAGATACAAAAGAGGATGAGAATGCTACAGAACAGTGGATTAGACCGGGCTCTGAGACAAAGCTAGCTCTCTGTTCTATATTCACTCTTACAGTACTAACTAAATGGCCAAAGTACAGAGCACATACATAATTAGGAAGACTGTTTGAGACTAATTCTCCACTCTTCTTCACTAAACTGCCACCAAATTTGATATAGCTTTGTTTTTATTAACTACAGTGGAATGCCAGTCATCGTGGGGCTACGATAATGGGGAGAGGGAAGCCAATAAGCCAATATACTCTACGCACAGAGATTGCATTATATTTCCTACACATCAACTCAATCCTACTTCTCTCATGATGTTCCTGTAAGTCAGACCTGGGCAAAGTGCGGCCCGAGGGATACATTCGGCCGCGCGCCACTCCTGTCCCCTGGGCAAAGTGCGGCCCGAGGGCTACATTCGGCCCGCGTGCCACTCCTGTCTGGCCCGCCGGTCATCTCTCACTGAACAAGTTGAACATCAAAACCATTTATAGCTTTTTGTCTAAAGTTGATCAGTTGCTTATCTTTAACATACCGCAAAAAAACCTCTTTGGTATTTGTGAAGATTAACAAGTTTAAAATAAAAAAAATCATCACCACTGTTTCATTTTATGCATCCATTGAAATGAGCTTCCTGAACACAAAAGATCTGTGCTAAATAAGACCTTTAAGCCCTGAACTTGCCATATGATCCTGTGGTTTTAGCCAAATGTATAGCACTTTAATAAGCAGGCATGATTATTGCCTCTCAGGGTTCCTTTCCTGAATCTGACAGGTCAGTTTTGTATGATTATAGGAACTTTGCAACTTCCTCCAAACAATTCTAAGCTCCATCATCTGTAACGTAAAAATGGGGATTAGTAACGTAGGATTGTCAACCAATGAATTAAAAAATAAGATCAAAACACTCTGAAAGTAGTGTAATGCCCTAGATAAATGTTGTTTAAAGCCTGGAGGACCTATTTCTAGAATGGAGAAGAATTGCTGTTGTGGGAAGAAGGCATAATTCCATGCTTAATTACAAGTAATTAAGCCAGTGGCCAGCCAGGTCTTTTCAACTATTTATTTGTTTGTTTGTTTGTTTGTTTGTTTGTTTGTTTGTTTGTTTGTTTGTTTGTTATTTATTTATTTATTTATTTATTTAATATCCCGCCTATCTAGTCGATAGACCACTCTAGGTGGCATTACCCTGCAAACTATCTTAATCAGCATTTGATTTGCACAAATGGAAAAAACTGGTATGAGGACATTTTGTCCTGCGATGTTTTGAATCATAGTTCTAGTTCCTTATCACTAGCTGTGCCAGTTGGAGCTTCTGAAACTTGAAATCCAAAACACCTACAGAGTAAAAAAAGAAAAAAAATAGGGTAGAAATTCATCATCATAGTTTTCCAAATGTATCCTAATTCCTGCTTTTTAATCTTGAGCTTCATAATATAAAGGCTATATAAATCCCAGGGAAAAAATTGATCCCACTTCCTGCAGAAGTTCTAGACTGAAACTATTGAGACGGAGCTCTGAGGCTGAAGCACCACTTCTACATTCTCCAAATCCATTTTTATGCGGTTTTATATGGATGTTGGGTCCTCTCATTACTTAAACGTATTCATCAGAGGTCTTGCATAGACATTTACCTTACAACAAACATGAAGCAGCAGAAAAAGTCTAGTCACCAGCCATGCAAGAGAAATTAACTCATGCACATTACATGCATGCATGCATCCACACACAAGGTCAGGTCACATCATACCCAACACAGAACAGTGATATAATACATCAAGGTGCTTATACAGCATATAGTTTTGGCAGGTGCTCCTTGTGAGGTACGCTGAAAGGGTAACACAACCGACCTATCACAGGGTCACAAAGCATTCTGGCTTTGATTTTCATATGAAAGGATCACCTTTTTAAAACGAAGTACAGTATATTAATTAACTGCAGAGAACAAGCAAACCTTATTCAGGAAAGCTCAAAGGGGGGGAAATGCACCTGTGTAATCTTTCTAATTCTGTTTAGATATGGGAAGAACTAGGGAGTATAACAAATAAAATAGCAACGCAAAATATTAAGTCAGCCACCCAGCCTGCCTGCCCGTCCTCCTTAAAAAGGAGTCAAGGCAGCTTACACTACAGTATAAGACAATGTTTAAAGCTAAAAACAATAAATTTACGAATGCTAAAAAGGATCAAATAAATACCACTCTGAGAAATGGTGAACAAAAGCAATACTAAAAACACATTCAAAACAGTAAGGTACAACAATCCTACTCAGACAGCCGGTCACTGAGGGAAAGCTTGCCTGAAGAGAAAGTTCTCGGTCTGCTTGCAGAAGGATACCAAAGATGGGGCCAGCCTGACCTCCTGGGGGAGTTTCAGAGTCCTGGAGAAGCGACAAAAAGAGGCTCTCTCCCCTAACCCCACCAAATGTACCTGTGAAGGTGGGTGGGACTGAGAGAAAGGCCTCCCCTGGTTATCTTAACACTCAAACAGGCTCATAAATGGAGATGCAGTCCTTGAGATAGCTTGGACCCAACCTTTTTAGGTCTTTATAGGTGAGAACCAGCATTTCAAATTGTGCTCAGAAATGGACTGGCAGTGATGCTATAACGGGGTGGAGGGTGTAAATCCCTGTAACCAGCCCCAGTCAGCAATCTGGCTG